AGATTACTTATCAGATAAAATGATGGAACTGCTGTTCTTTGTTTGAGTGGCCTCGGTGGTCAATAGTATAGGGATTGGAATTGGTTATAATTGAATAATGTAATCTTCATTTCATTACTTTTGAGAGGCAAGAGAGTGAGCATTAATAAATGAGTATGTACAGTATATTTATCTATTTACTGTGCACAATAAGTCTGTGAAGTAGATGCTTTACCCATTTTTCAGGAGAGGTCTAGAGAGAGATTTCTTAGGGTCATTTAGCTAAACAGTGGCTGATCAAGAATTTGACTTCAAGTTTTTGGCTCCAAAATAGATTGTTTTTAAAAGTATACCATGTAAGTTAGCCATTTAAAAAATCTACATAGCTTTCTATTGATCCTTATAAAGGACTAATTCTTGGGCACGGTAATGAGAACACACAAATCATTAATCAAGAGCGGCTACTTAAGAAAACTACTCTGAGGTATCCTTGAGTATATTGGATTGCTCTAGCTCATTTCAAGTGCCTTAATAGCAGCTTGGAAACCCTGGTGGCATAGTGGTTAAGAGCTATAGCTGCTAACCGAAAGGTTGGCAGTTCTAATCCACCAGGCGCTCCTTGGAAAACCTATGGGGCAGTACTACTCTGTCCTCTAGGATGGCTATGAGTCGGAATCGACTCGATGGTAATGGGTAAGAGCAGCTTAATTTTGTTCACTGCTAATGCCCCAGCACCTATTATTCAGAACATAGTGTATGCTCAGCAAATATGTTGAATGAGTTTGAGGTGCTTTTATTATCTTTGGAAGTAATAACATAGTTGCCATAATCCGGAAGAAAATGCTTAAACAACACCAAAGATTTTTTGCATTATTTAGAGACAAGGTGCTCAGAACTTTTATTTCCTCTGGTGACAAGTTGGAAGGGTTGTCGATGTTGGAAATTATTCAGATGATGATGCTTATCAGGATTTGGGTGGGAATCATGGAGACTGAGGAAAAATGACTCTGCAACACTGAGGAGGTACAAAAGACTGAATATGATAGGAGGCTGAAGGAAAGAATGAGTAAAAGAGCTGGAAGAATGAGGGTACTAATAGGAAATGGAATGGAAGAAGGCATGTGGGAAAGAATCATTTGGAAGGTTTGTTTGATTTTTGAAGTGATGGCAGATACTTGAATAGATATGTATCATAGAGGTGACTGGGAATAGAAAATCAGACAGGAAAGAATGGTTAAATCTAAGATTGATGGGAAACATAATGGAGAAGGCTGAGTCTTGGGGAACAACTGCATTTTTGGGTAATAAAAGAAAGAGAAGCAATTTGAAAAAAGTTGCAGAAGGAGATCAGTCACTAACGTTCTTCAGTGGCAGTTTTATTTTTTTAAAGATTAATATTCTTCTGAAGGTGGGAGATCATGAATGTGTTAGAGAGGGAAAACATGGTTTAATCAAGAATAATTTAGGTCATGTCTCAGGAGCCACCACAGAGCCAGGCTTTGAGAGATAGAAATACCTCAGTTCTTGCTATAGAGTGAAGTGGATTATCTAGTTGTGGAAGATAAATAACTACCAGGTGTTTAAAAATAGTACTTGTCAAAATATAAACAGTGAGATACATGTATATGAAATGCATTCTTTGGAAGCTTAGGAAGGGAACATATGTGGAACAGGTTTTATAGTTGGAACAGTAATTTGAGATAACCTAGTTAAACTTTTTTTTTTTTTTTAGCAGATGAGGAAACAGTCCTCTGGTGGTTGATCTACTAGAGATCTCAAAGCTGGCTTTGTAGCAGAGATACCTAAGTTGGGAAGGCTTCAAGGAAGCAGTGGTACTTAAATGATCCTTGAAGTTTTAATAAGATTTTGACTGAGGGGTTGGCAACTAATGTCACTAAACAATATGTATATTAATTGTTTAATAAGAAACTAGTTTGCTCTGTAAACCTTCATCTAAAGCACAATTAAAAAAAGTATTTTTATTGAGTGAGATGGATATAAAAGGGAAGGAAACTGACTTGAGAAAATTTGAAGGGGAATGAGCAAGAGTATGCCAACAATAGTGAAAGGAATATTAAAATAATTTATGTATTGAAGTAATCAGTATGGAACATGGTAACCTCAGATAATGTCATAATTAGGATTACTGTGAACTACTGTGCTTTTTTGAATAGAGCAAAGTAATGAAGAAACTAGTGACTGTTGAAGTATATTTTGTCCAATGTTATAAACAGTAGTTCCACAATAGAGCAATGGAGAGAATGTCTTTTTTTTTTTTTTTTTTTTAAATAACATATCCAGGCTACATCCTAGATCTACTGAATCAGAATCTCTGAGGTATGGCCTAGGGTTCTGTCGTTGAGTCTCAACACCCACCCCTACCCTGGGTGTAAAAAATAATAGCAATTTGTGGATCTATGTTTGGGAACCACTAGTTTGAAAGGTCAAGTTAGAATAGGGAGAGAAATTACTTAAAAAATTATTCTGGTTGCCCAGGTCTAAGATAAAATGTAGACTGTAGGATTAGAAAAAAAGAATTTCAATCCTGTAAATTAAATTTGGGTGCACATTGTTTTTAGAGAAGGAAAGAGGGGAAGGACTCAATTTCTCTAGTGTGAAAGAAGTTCAACTAGTGGTAGATGAATGCTTAGTTAACCCTGGAGAGCGAGGATGTTGTTTTGTTTGAGGTTAAAGTAAAGAGAGAATAAAATTGTTGCCTGCTGCCCTTAACTGGTGACATACTTATTTAAAGCCTAAAAAAGTAATAATGAATGAGCCTAATAGAGTATATAGGTTGAGTGAATGAAAGATAACTATATTTACAGCAAAGGAGCCCTGGTGGTACAGTGGTTAAAGCACTTGGCTGCCAACCAAAAGGTCAGTGGTTGGAACGCATCAGCCGCTCTGCGGGAGAAAACTATGGGGCGGTTCTCCTCTGTCCTGTAGGGTCACTATGAGTCAGAATCAACTCGACGGCAGTGGGTTTTGTTTTGGTGGGATATTTACAGGAGCCCTGGTGCAGTGGCTAATATTTACAGGTCTTTTTTTTTTTTTTTTTTTTAAATTAAAACACACTTTACCACTACTTTTTGGAAAGAATATTCTTTTCTGCCCTTTGGACAAGTAGAATTTACCAGTGAAACAAGTTTTTCATGTCACATTTTGAGTCAGTATTTTCTTTTAGCCGTTGAATTTCAGACTATTCTTCAGGAAGCCTTAGACTTTCCATGTAATAACTGTTAGGAGAATGTGTAAGCAGGTACATTCCCCCTACCATCATCTTTAACTACAGACATAGCAAATTTAAGGTACCTACTGTACCCCTTGACAGACATCACTGATCAGTTGTGGTATTCTCCCATTATATCTGGCTGTGGCCTCCTTAACAGAGCACTTCAGTTTGACATTAGCAATCATTAGAAAAGGATAGGAGATTGAAACTACCTTTCTTCATAGAACCAGGATAGATGCTTAGATTTCTGTGCAAGATTTCACATAGGAAAGGTACTGCCAAGGCTTTAAAAAAAAAAAAAAAAGCTTGAAGGCCGTAATTTTAACATCATTTTTTAAAGCTAATTCTTATTTTGACAAAATTGTAAGTTCAAGTGCAGTTTTAGAAGTAATACAGAGTATCTGTGTATTCTTATGTCCCTCAATGGTAACATCTTGCAAAACTAGTACAGTATCACAACCAGGATATTGACATTGATACAATCTACCCATCTTATTCACATTTCCCCAGTTTTACTTGTACTCATTTGTGTGTGTCAGTGTGTGTGTATAGTTCTGTGCAGTTGTATCACATGTGTAGGTTCCTGTATCCACCACTACAATCAAGATATAGAACAAGTTTTTGTTCACTATATCAAATTTATACTTGCATTTTTTTTTTTAAACATAGGTTTTAAAACTTTTACAGTGTTGCTCTTGATACATTACTTTGATTCTCAAGTTAAGCCAGTATGGAGTTTCAAAAAATACTGACTGATTTGGAAAAGTGCCTCATCCTTGATTAGATAAGGATGGTTTGATGCTCACTAGGTGAACATATCATGAGCTTTGCCATTAGTTTATTCTTTAAATATTCTAATCTTATCAGAGCAAATCTTTTGACCAAAATTCTATAAAATGGATTTCAGGGTCCAAAAACCAAAACAAAACCCATTGCCATTGAGTCGATTCCAACTCATGGTGACTCCATGCGTTATAGAACTGCTCCATAGAGTTTCTTGGCTGTAATCTTTACAGAAATAGATTGCCAGACCTTTCTTCCATGTGTTCAAACTGCCAACCTTCAGGTTAGTAGTCGATTTGTGCCACCCAGGGACCTTTCAGGGTTTAGGTGACCTGTTTATTTTACTACGTACACAGAATATCATCTTAAGAAAATAATTGAATAATAAATGTGTTTGGAGTTTGTAATAAAGGGATTTGGCCTTTGAATTTTTAAGTGGAATTACTCCTAACATATTCTCTGAACTTGCAATACAACACAGAAGCATCCTTTCTCCTTTACTGACAAGAATGGACTTTGGAATAGATCAGCAACTCTTAATATTTTGACTTTTACAAATATATTTGGTGGGAATTGTTCTCTGGTACCCATCTTTTAAGAACTTTTGCCAAGTATTTAATTCCCAAGAATTTTACCTGGTAATAAGAGCTAACACTTAACTAAAGTGGCACACACAATCCTTGAAACAATTCAGAAACATATTCTGAATGATTACTCCCATTTACGGATGAGGAAGCTAAGGTTCCTAGAGAATAAGTAGCTATTATTAATAGCTGTTTTTAGTAAGTGGCAGAGTGTGACTGCTGAAGCGTTGCTACTTTGATACCTAATTTAGTAGTAACAATTGGTTAGTATTGTACTAAATATGGTACAGTGAAGCTTTTAAAACTGTCTTACAGAACCATAAACTGTCCCTTTTTGAGAGAGATCATTGTCAATTATTTTTCCTTAACTGTAAATTCTAGACTACTTATTTTACCAGTCACCTTGCAAATTTTAATTTCAGACAAACTAGTGTGTTGGCTCTGGAATCAAACTGTTAGAGTTCAAATCCTGACTGTGCTATCTGTAGCTGTGGAACTTTGGACAAGTTCAAACCCTCTGCCTCATCTGTAAAATGAAGGTGATAATTGTACTTACCTTATAGGCTTGTTAGGATTAAACATTGAAAGCACTCAGTATTTGCTGTCTTTATTATAGCCAGTGGTTGGAGAGGTTTGAGAGGTTTGAGTATCAATCAGTTAACTGTTCATGGAACACTATCTGATATTGATATTAACCTTGTTGGAGAAATATATAACTCATTCTGTTGTCAAATTTTCTTTTTAGCTTTTAAGTGTCTGATATTTATTTACTGTTTTGATTACCAGGAATAATCTATTAATAGACTTGTGATTATAAGATTTAAACTGTAAGATCATCAACCAGACCAACCTCCATTTACAGTTGAGCCCAGAGCAATGAAATGGAGGCTTCATGGGAGAAAGACCTGGCAGTCTGCTTCAGTAAAGATTACAGCCTCAGAAAACCCTATGGGGCAGTTCTACCAGTCAGATGAGGTCGCTGTGAGTCAGAATCGACTCAGTGGCACCCAACAACAACAGCTTAAGAATGGATCTTGGTCAAACAGTATTCTTTTTATTATACTTTAGTCAGCTGCTATAAATTTAAAATCTTAAATGTATAATGAGGGTAGTTTAATTTCTACTTTATAAGGGAATCTTGGGTGGATGGTCTCTCATAATTTCAAGTTTCTTTATTTCATTTCCGTTAGTAATTCAGCCAAAAATTCATTTGCTTATTCTTTAAGTGATATACTATCCAAAATATAATCATTAATTTAATTTCAAGTATTTATTGAGCACTGTGTAGTTGCTTATAAAGGACGGAAAGATAACAATAAATGACTTTTTCCTCAAAGAGGTTATGGGCGATCAGGCCCTGTTATTTGTAGTTTCAGAAAAATTTTTTATTCGTGTTTTCGTCCTTTCTACCTTTTGCATGTCATATTCATCTTCTCAGTGGTATTTTTGTTTTCTTTACTTTTTAACATGGTTTTAAAAGCAGCCTCTACCACTTTTTCTGATAGACTGTTTTCTACTTTAATTGCTTTTCCGTGTCTTTATCTCATTTTTCCTAGTTTAGGGTTCTTTGGTTTGATTTTGGGACTTTTGCGTGTGTCTAATATTGTTGTCTTTGCTTTACCAAATTTGCTTTTAATATCATGGTTTCCCAGTTTCTTCTTAGTTTAATTTGGTATTTAGCCTTGATTGTTGCCTTTACACGTGCTTATACTCTTTTGTGTAGAAAAGTGAGGAACAATTTTATTCTTGTAAGAGTTAGCTGCTGCCTTTGTGGAATTCGTTTGGTTTTAGGTACCATATTAGTCAAAAGTACCTGTAACTTTGTCACTTGAAAAATAGCTCAATACTCCCTATGTTCACTTGGTTTCTAGGTCTATTCTGGATAGCAGGTTTTGTGAAGACATTTATTCTTTCTTGGACCTCAGATTTACCAGACATCTCATGGTATTTCTTTTTATATTATTTCTTTAATGGCTGACATTTATTCTCAGTGTATTTTGTGTATATCTTATTTGCTTGTTGGATGGCCAGTTTTGTGATTCACATATAAGATGTGAAAGCTTTGTAGTATTTGTTTGGATTGTGTTGAATTTACTTTTCTCCCTTTACATATACCTGTGTTATAAGCTCACATCTTTTCTGCTTACTATATATATTAGCTCCCCCCTCCCCCTTTTTTTAAGACACAGTGACCCTAATGAATATATGATTTTATTAAGTACCAGCTGGATTTTTAAGTAGGGTGAGCTTTCTGGCCATAGAGCTTTTTGGTATTAATGAATATAGTGACATATTTGTCATCTTATGGTCTAAATAGATACGCTCTCTTGTTATCTGACCTCTTGTGAGTAAATTCCTGGGATCTTCCCTATTGAATCAAATTCGGAGTCTAGCTCTGTTTTAGATGTGATGATGTATCTTTATCCTGGTGGTAAGATTCTGTGTTTTTAGAGCAATGCGTTTCTGGAGAAGATGCTGTTAGTTGTTTTTAAAGCACTTAATTGTGTAGGTTGACAACGCATTTGGGCTACAGTTTCATCCCAGGTGCTCTAATTCATTCCTTAGTCATTTGTAGAGTTCCTGTTACGTTCCAGGCACTGTGCAGGGTTGGATAGTAATCACACAAATATAACCATTGTCCAAGATAGGCAAGCCCTTCATGGCTATTTAGAAAGAGCTCAGTGTTTACTGATGATTGTATATTTGTAGGAAAGGACACGTTAGTAGATGCATACCCACACGGATTCTTTTAGATTGAAAATATTACTCCATTTACCTGAAAGAATACATGATAACTTGATTTCTGTTTTCCAGTTTCTGCCTCTAGTAAACAAGTGTACAGTTAAATATCTAAGAACATATACCTAACATATAAAACTTCAAATGAGCTTCACTTAAAGGTAAACTGAGCTGAAGAAAACTTCTGTTTAGATGCTACGAAAAGGAAGAGAATCTTTTAAAAATATTGCAGTAGTTACCTGTTGTTAGGTCCAAGTCTTCAGCATTTTAAGGAAATACAGAATGATGTAACATTTGAATAGAACAAACTTGCAGTTTTTGTACATTGCTTGCATTTTGCCATTTGGATATTTCATAGCTCTTTGCAGGCTAAAAATAAGGCTTTTATGAAGTAACTCTAATGTGGTCACAGGTATAGAAAAGAAGGTAGGGCAACTTTTCCTGTTTTTCACCTTGCTCTAATTGTCTTTGGGGGAGCATTTTAATTTAGTGGAGCAGTGTAAAAACATAGCAAGTAGAGAACCATAATTATTTTTAAAAGATATTAGCGGATTCTCTTTAAGTGAGAGCTGGAGTTTTTCTGTCCACGTATTTTTGTGATGAAATAAGAGCAACTTTTGATACGAATCTACCACTTATTGATTGCTAATTGTGTATAGCATTGTATGAAATGCTTTATGTTCATTATTTCATTTTTTTCTCAGAAATTCTGTGAAGATAAGTCCCATTTTTATAAACAATGAAACTAATGCTTAGAGAGGTTAAAATAACTTGCCTAGCTCACAGATCTTGAGTAAGTGGTGGAGGCAGGATATAAAGCTTATGCTTTTAACCTTTAGGTGCAATTGCCTACTATTGTATATTTTTATTATGACAACTTGTAATTTAATAGTTCTTTCTAGTTATACATGATTTAAAAGTAAAGGCAAGTTTTCTTTGAGTGTTTAAGCCACTATCATTACCTTATTGCCCTGTTTTAGTATTTTTCCCCCTATAAGGGACAGTTTTGACTGTTAGCTGTAGTTCATTTTATAAGATTATATCTATTTTCTTCCTAAGTTGTTCTTTATCGTTGTTGTAACCTGTTCACAACCAATACATATAGCAAGCGTTATTTAGCGAGTTTGGAGTCCCTGGCATGGCGCAAATGGTTAAGCACTCAACTACTAGCTGAAACCCACCCAGAGGTGCCTCCGAAGACAGGCCTGGTGATCTGCTGCTGAAAGACCACAGCCTTGAAAACCATATGGAGCAGTTCTATTCTGCACACGGGGTTGCCATGAATCAGAATTGACTTGACGACAACTCAAAACAACAATACAGTGCGTTTAAATTAGAAAAATTGTTGTTGGAGCTAAATATATTTTAGTTTCTATGTAAATTTATCTAAAAAACACTTCAGGTTTATTAGTTTTCTCTACTAACTAATTGTCAGTATTCAGGGGTGTTAACTCTAGTGAGTTAATACTAACTGAAGAAAAACCCCTCCAATGTAATTTATTTATGTAGTATGAAAAATGACAACCACTGTAAAACAATTGACTATTACAGATAGTTTTTTTTTCCATATACATGTATAAGTAGTAGAGTGGACTTTGGTTCATGTCTATATCTTAAGCTGAGGAAACTTATTCATCCTTTCTTGGTTTTGTGTTCCTCAGGGTGAAATGGAGATACCTACCACAGAGTTGCTCACAGCCGTACTTTTTTGCAGATAAACCATGCCTTCTACAGTTTGTTTGGCAGCTGCGCCCTTCCCCTGAGAGGTATTTTCATAAGCACACTATGCTAATTTTTGTTTTTACAGCAACATTTAGGAAGAGGAATGGCATGGCGGCACTTATGAAAATACCTCATTGGGGAGGGCGCTGTTGGCAAACAAACGTAGAAGGTGCATGTTATTTGCATAAAAATACAGTAAGTAGATCATGCATGTAAAAAGCTTAGTGTGGTACATAGTCTATAGTAAGTATTCAATAGTTGTTAGATAGTATATTGTTTGATCATTCAGTGAACCACGAAGGCTTGTTTTTGGATACTACTGCAATAAGACACTCCATTTTATCTTTCAAAACGAATAATAATTGTTGGTTCTTCACTAAGCAGTATGTCTTAGTAGTCCTTCATGTGGCATCCTAAATTCATTCCTTAAGGAAGACTATGATTCAGGAACTTCAGTAACTTTTCTTTTGATCACAGTCACATAACTTAATTCTAGAAAAAATAGAGGCTGCCTGAGACAATTATAATTTATATTGAGATTTTTAACAAAGAATGCTTTCTTATGTATTCTATTTATTGTTAATAGTTATAGTGTGGCTGTTGCTAGAAATATGAAGATGTTTCTTAACTGTTTTGTTCCTTTTTTTTTTAAAACAGGATTTGTGGATGCACTTAGATGTTTGCAATGAGCACTGTGGCTGGCATGCCCCAGTGTTTTGGATACCAATGCATAGGACTCCATAGTAATCGAATTTACCAGAGGCGAACGTCATGAGCATAGTCATCCCATTGGGGGTTGATACAGCAGAAACGTCATACTTGGAAATGGCTGCAGGCTCAGAGTAAGTATTTAAATTAAAAGTATTTTGGATAGGGAAAGTCAAATTACTTTAAACAATTATTTTAGCATAACCAAGTAGTGCTTAATTTATGTTTATATTTTTCCTCATTTTAAACTCTTGGCTGAAATAAAATGTCAGAAATTCAAAATTTCTTTAAAATTACTTTTATAAGTAACTGTTTTGAGCCAAAATGCCTTATCTTTTAAAAATTTTTTTGTCTTTGCCATTTGCTAATTGTTGGCATCATGAATCAAGATAGTAGGTTTTTCGTTTGTTTGTTTTTTTAATTGTAAAATATGTCATGATTATATTGGAAAAGTAATTTGGTTTTAAATTTGAATCTTGACTAACTTTTGAAAAAATGGTACAACTCATTTAAGCATGGGGCATAATTTTTTAAAATAAAGTTGAATTGAAAAACAATTCAAGCCACTTTTAAATGAGAGAAAAGGAGTATTTCCTTTTGGGGGTGATTGTTGATAACTTGCTTTTATGTGAATCATTTCTGACGGACTCAGTGAAAGGTTCTTACCTTTGCTCCAGACTATTTGGTCCAAGTGATTTATCTGGATGGATTTCATTATCTTTTGTTTTCGTATGACCAGCCACTTAACACTAAGTTATTGCTGTGAAGATAGTTTGCTTGTTTGTTTTTGGAAATTGCAAGGGGTTCAGGTGACAATGCTGGAAACTGAGGGATGGAAAGATTCGTATGTTTGTTCTCTGGTTCAGTATATTTGTGTATTATGCTTAATGGGATTCTCTGTCAACCAGAAAGCAGAACTTAATGGAATCTAATTTTTTTTTTAATTGATTCATTTAAGGATTCCTGACTCTCTGCTAGATGGAAAGCAGTAAAATGCTATTATTGCTCCTGCTGCCATTTCAAGGGGTCTAGAAGTGCTTTCACCACTCCTGCTTCTACCATTGGGAAGGACCCAGAGATGCTCTCTAATATTCTATATACTAATACTAATATCCTACAGTCTGTTTAACTGTATGAGTATTGTAATATAGTTGTAAAAAGCTTTTAACTTTTTTGCACTATGTGTAAGTAATTTTTTTTTGTATAGGTAATTTTTGTTGTAAAATAATAGATTCCCAAACAAAATACTCTTGTGACGGTTGAATGCCAGTCATCTTGCCTTCATCAAATAGGGATACTACTAAGGAAAGAAGGAAACCTGGAAGCAAGGTTTGAGAGGCAGAGGGATTCCAAGTCTAAAGTTCTAGTCTTTTTAACTTCATGAAAATCAAAGAGAAAAAAATAGCTACAAATAAACAAATGTGTTCTTCACAGTGTTGTTTATTTTTTTCCTAACTCTCCATTCCCCTTTCCCCCTCAGGCCTAGATAACCACTAATCTTTTATCTTGATGAATTTGCCTATTTTAGACATTTCATATGAGTGGGATCATACAATATTTGTACTTTGTGTCTGACTCATTTCACTCAGCATTATGTTTTCAGGGTTCATCCATGTGATGGCATGTATCAGAACTTCATTTCTCTTTATGGCTGTGGTGCAGTGGTTAAAGCGCTTGGCTGCTTACCAAAAGATTGGTGGTTCAAATACTCTAGCTGCTTTGCGGGAGAAAGGTGTGGCAGTCTGCTTCCGTAAAGATTTACAGCCTTGGAAATCCGATGGTGCAATTCTGTCCTGTCCTATAGGGTCGCTGTGAGTTGGAATTGACTTAGTGGCAGTGAGTTTGGTTTTTGGTATGTATATACCATTTTTTTAAAAAAAATCCATTCATCTGTCGATGAACATTTTTTCTATTGTGTTAAAATATATTTAACATAAAATTTGCAGCGTTAACCATTTTTAAGTGTACAATTCAGTGGCATTAATTATATTCATAATGTTGTACAACCATCACCATTTGTTTCCAAAGGTTTTTCATTACCCCAAACAGAAACTCTGTACTAGTTAAGCATCAGCTCCCCATTTCCCCATCCCCATTCCATTCCCCCTCTCCCTAGCCCTCTGTTCTTTCTTAGTATAAAGCATTTGATAGATGTAAATCCAAGTCTGACAGGAGTTCTAGGCATTTATTGGTAGTAATCAAACGTTCTTTGCTTCCTAAAAGTATTCACCCTGGCAGTCTTTTTTTTTTTTTTTCATTGTGGTAAACATATGTGTAACAGAACATTTACCATTTTGACATTCTTTACATGTACAGTTAAGTGACATTAACTTAGGTTTGACCTTATCCATTCTCATATTTTTCTGTCACCCTTAAAAGAAGCTCAGTGTCCCCTAGGCATTGAGTCTTTTTTTTAAAATTTCAATAGTGTTTTAAGTAATTAATACAGGATTTAATTTATGAAAATGTTATTTATATACTAGATAGGAATTTTTTTAGTGTACACGGTCAGCTACACCTTTGCCTTGTTTATATATATAGTATGTGTACCATAAGGCAACTCAAACAGAACTGAAACCACATATTAATTATACAGTTAAAGGGAATGAATAATACATTGAAGAAGGGCAGTAGAAGGTAGCATACCCTGCCTGTCTTTTTTTATTAAATACATTTTAAGAGTACGTCTGATTTATATCATAGAGTCAAATCTTTTTCTGGTACAGTTATCATCATTTTTATTATTGGAAAATGATTCACTTTTAGGCAGTTTACAGAATAACTACCTTTTAAGAAACACTCCTGGTTCAAGTACGGCTTTTTTCTTTTCCAGATACAGGTGTATGTCCCTTAGGCATAGTTTTCTCCCATTAAGTGAATACAGAAAGTGTAGTTGGTGTTGATTTTATTACGGCACAACCATCAGAATTTTGTAGTTTAATTTTCAAACTTTTAAATGATCTTTTTTAGTATAAAACCTAAAGGCTTAAGAAGACCCTTAAGTCACAGTTTTCCTTCTCCCCACAGAAACATAAAACTTCTGAAACTAACAACTTTGATATTTATGATTAATGGGTTGCTTCCTTTTTTAAATGCATAGTCAAAAGATACTATAGTTGCAAAAGATGCAGATTTATCTCCTGTAAAGCTATAATTATGTCAGAGTACAAAGTTTAAAAAAAAAAGGAGAGAATTACATTTTATTGAACTCACGTGGCTACATGAAGGAGCCCTGGTGGTGCAGTGGCTAAACCACTTGGCTGCTAACCGAAATATTTGCAGTTTGAACCCACTAGCCGCTCTGTGGGAGAAAGCTGTGGCAGTCTGCTTCTGTAACAGTTTACAGCCTTGAAAACCCTATGGGACAGTTCTGCTCTATCTGATAAGGTTGCTGTGAGTTGGAATCAACTTGACAGTGGGTTTGGTTTGTTTTTTTATGTGGCTATATAATGTCGTTGGTTATGTATTTTTTTTAAAAAATATATTGAATTCATGTACTGGACTAAATTAATACTCACTTCTAAGACTGTAAAAGAGAACTTTTTAGATGATTTAGAGTTTATCTAGTCTACGTGTAGCGTTTTATAGATAGGAAATTGAAGGTCTAGTTCAGGATATCTGAGGAAAAGGTTTGCTAAACGCTGGCTCAGTATTTCCATTCCCAGTAACATTTGCTTTTAGATTACTCTATTTATAAAATAAAACTCGTTATTCCCACCAAGTCCAGCTCATTTTTGTTAACGTATTTCTTTTTTTTCTCATCACGAACTTTTGCTCATCTTGAGTTTGTTTTGCATTTCCTTCAGGGTAGGATCATCTTGTATTTTATTTCTTCCCTTTCCCGCATTACCTTGCCTAGAGTTGAAGCTCCCTAAATGTTTGAACTAAAAATAATAGTTTTAAAGTACTTTAGAAATAACTGATTAGTGAGGATTGATAAACTGTAAGTTAGAGATATCAGATTTAGTAAGAAGAATAAAATTTTGTTCCATTAGCCTAAGTTCCTTAAAGCAATTGTATGCATTTCACAGTCAGATTTAATGGAAGTTGTCTTATTTAAAAAGAACTTTTTGACTATATGTATATAACATTAACAAAGACTAATACCTAGACATTGGTAAACAGAAACAGTTGGAGCCAACTGCTATAGTGGAAACTCTCCAAGGTACTCTAAAAATAGTATATTATTCACTCATGAATCTTAGGAGTAAGAATTTATCTGCATAGTGTTTGTCCCTAGATTTGAAAAATACTAATCATAATACATAGATTAACATAGTGACTGACTGATTTTCTCACTAGCGCCTGGCATAGTCCATGGTACAAAAAAACAAAAAGGTGAAAAAGCAAAAATATGTTTTAAGGGAAAATTGAGCTAGATATAAATATGATTTTTAAACCTGATTAGCAAAATGATCATCACTGTAATAATCAGAGGAGCCCTGGTGGCGCAGTGGTTAAGAGTTCAGCTGCTAATCAAAAGGTTGGCAGTTTGAATCCACCAGTCTTGGAAACCCTATGAGGCAGTTCTCCTCTGCCCTGTAGGGTCTCTATGAGTTGGAGTCGACAGCAGTGGGTTTTGGAAGTAATCAGGAGACAACAAATTTTTACCAGGAAGCTATATCTATAGTTTTTTGATGAACTGCATGTCCATAAATGTAGGCTACTACTAGAAGTAGACTTCTTACTTAGTTTAATTTTTTATGACAAGATGGACAATCCAAGATGAAGCACTTTTTTTTTTTTAAAAATTGTATGTTAGGTGAAAGTTTACAACTCAAGTTAATTTCTCATACAAAAATTTAGACACTTTTTTTTTCTTGTGCTTTAAGTGAAAGTTTACAATTCAGGTTAGTCTCTCATATAAAAATTATGCATACATTTTTATGTGACCCTAGTTGCTCTCCCTATACTGTGACAGCACACTCCTCCTTTCTACCCCGGATTTCCCGTGTCCATTCAGCCAGCTCCTGACCCTCTCTGCCTTCTCATCTCACCTCTGGACAGGAGCTGCCCATTTAGTCTCATGTATCTACTTGAGCTAAGAAGCACATTCTTTATGAGTATAATTTTATGTCGCATAGTCCAGTCTAATCTTTGTCTGAAGAGTTGGCTTCGGGAATGGTTTTAGTTT